CCTGGCCGGGGCTGGTCTGCTTGTGGATGAAGACGACGGTCCTGGCTGTGCCCGAGGTGATGGGCGGCTTGGTGGGACCCGGGGTCGTCGTGGGCTGATCTTAGGTGGTGAAAACAGGAATATATAAATATTTTTAAGGCAATCTAGGGGGGAAAAAACGCTCCAGTAACGCGACTGTTTTGTAAAAATACTGTTAAATCGAATTATTGTTTATGTCAGACTGACCAAATCTAATATAATATATCAAAGAACATCCAAATCCTTTAAAATGTGTCAGATGCTAAAATCCGAGACGGGACTCACTGGGGTCGACGGTAGGGCCGGTTCCGTCGCATCCGACACAGATGGCGAAGATCGGTTCATCAGAATTATTGATGGAGATCTGTGCTGTTCCGTCGCCATTCACCGTGACCTGATTGGCACAGCCGCTGATCAGCTCACAGTAGGTACCGGCGGGCATGCCTGTGGCGGGAGGTTGAGAAAGAGAAAGATGTGAAATATTCTGTGACATTTCCGTGCCGCCTGCCGGTCTTCGGTGTAATTGCTTATTTTCCTGGAAGAAACCCCAGAAAAATGCCAGTGAAAATATTCAAAGTCAAAGCAAAATAAACGATTGAATTACAAAATGAAAATAGTAATAATCCTGATAATATCAATGATGATCATATTTTTGCATTCATATTGATAATAATGCTAATGAGAATAACTGTAATAATAATGATAAGTAATAATAATATCAAGGCATTAAGGTGTTAAGATAAATTAATTCTTTAAACTGAAAACTCTTTTCCGGTGCCTCTCTCCCTCCTTCACTCACCCGTCTGGAGCGTACGGTCGAAGGAGCCGTACTTGGACATGGCGAAGAAGCCCTTATTGCCTCGGGAGAAGGCCACGTTGTCGCCCTCCTGGAACCAGTTGGCGATCTGCGTGCCTGCCACAGCGTTCCTGAACTTGACCTGAAGAGGAGGACGAGGGGCGTGGCAGGTCATTTTTAGTGCTCATTGTTATTATTTGTTTATCTATTTATTTATTATTTTAATTATCGCGTTATTTTGATGGGTGTGCGTTACTGGACAGGGGGGAGGGGGTATCTCGGGCTGCTTCGGTGGGCGGTAGATGTAATGGGGCGCGAGTTTGCGATTTGCAAGTCGTTAATTTTTCCATCGTCATCTGTCCTTTGTCAATGAAGAGTTCCTTCAAGTCCTAATGAATTTCTTTAACAAGCGGAATGACTCATGCTCACCCCCTTGATATTCTCATTTGGACTCATTTGGACTCGCTCTGACTCACCATCTGCGCAATGGCGTTCCAGCGGTGCTCGCAGACCCATCCGCCGCCGCAGGTTCCGTCGCCGTTGATGGGAACGTCATCCGTGCCTCCGTAGCTGCTGCCTGGCGGACCCTGGTCGCTGTTGTCGAAGTAGTAGCTGCTCATGAGGCGCATGAAACCGTAGTCATGGGCGAGGGAGAAGCAGACACCCATGGTATATTCCTTAGGCTGTGGATATATACACAGAAGAAGAAGAAATCAAGAGTTTGGGAAAAAATAGGTCAGTGTCCCCTTTAATTACAATTTTCCTTCGGTTTTCTGTGTTAAGAGGCATCATTGGTTCCGCTCTTCCCGAGAGATTTTGCCCCCGATCTGCATCTCATGTTTCTACCAAAGCGCCCCATTTATTCTTCCTTATTAACAACAACTTTCCTCCTAAATGTATCTCGTTTTGTTTCCAGATAATTTTATAGTTCATACTTTATATCCAAGGTTTATATCCGTAAATTCTTGTATGTATTACATTTCATGGCTTACATTATTACATTATTTGTAGTAAATTTTGTTTTCAAATGTATGACGATTTTGGTTTTCCCTTTTCAGCTCTAACGTTAGAATTAATGCAAATTACAATTTCACTATTTGCCTGTTTTGATGAAAAAAATAAATGTATCAAAAAGAGAAAAAAACTCCAAGATTAAATATATAGGAATAAAATGACATTTTTGGTGCAACTGGCGATTTGGAAAGACATGTTCGTCATCCTTGTTGATCTAGGTTGAAAAATTAAGAGTATCGTATTCCTCTGCCAGAAACGTAACATTTTGATCTAACAGTTTTACTAGCTGTTTTGTATATTTTACAAACTTTTCATGTTTTATTGATACATACCTTTTCACCTTTCTTTAGTTTCCTTGCTCTATATTTCTTCACCTCCCTGTCATTCCATCTCTCTCTCTCTCTCTCTCTCTCTCTCTCTCTCTCTCTCTCTCTCTCTCTCTCTCTATCTCTCTCTCTCTCTCTCTCTCTCTCTCTCTCTCTCTCTCTCTCTCTCTCTCTCTATATATATATATATATATATATATATATATATATATATATATATATATGACTCACTCACTTTGATATCATTAATGATATAGAATTGTTTACGGACTATATGAGATGTAAATAATGTAAGCATACTGACAGCCCTTCAGGCATGTAGAATTAATGCTTGACTGATGGCCCT